TGTGTGTATACAGTATATGGCTCCATATACAGAACAGTTTCACTGAATATCCATGAAGTAAATATTATCCCTTTCTGATAAAATTTGGTAGTAGGATAGATATCAAAAGCAAATAAATAAATAAATAAATAAATGCTCAAACAGGGTGACCTGCGTAGGTACAGTCAGTGTTCAGGTCAACATCTCACTGATTGGACCACTGAGCTGCCACGTTGGATGGTAACACAGCTAAAAGTTGATATTCTTTTTATCAATGTTCTGATTTCATTTTTATAATAATTATTATTATTATTTCTAATTTTTTTATCCACCTTGTTCACTTCTGTCCTGCTCTACAGACGGACGCCGCGTTGATGTACGATGCAGTGCATGTGGTAGCCGTGGCTGTGCAGCAGTCTCAGCAGATCACTGTCAGCTCATTACAGTGCAACAGACACAAACCCTGGCGCTTTGGGAACCGCTTCATGGCCCTCATCAAAGAGGTACTGTTGATGCTTGTCTCCTTCTTTGTTCTGTGTTCCTCTTCAGCATACACTGAAGCTTCACAACCAAACAAATGCTCTCAAGAATTGAACAAGGGCGAAATGTATAAGGACTAAAGTAAACATGATGGGGCAATGAATAAATGAAAGTATTTATTTGTTTGTTTATTTCAGTGGAACTTTATTTTTCTCTGTTTGCACAAAAATCTACAGACTTCACATGCTTGGCAGCCATCTGGAGCCTGTTGTTTGAATTCTACAAGAAGCGATACAGTATGTTGAAAAAAGGAAGCTATTCAGTTATAATAGTGGTCTTTAAAGTTTTTTATTGTATTCATGTCTTTTAGCATTTTTTAGGTCTGAATAATAAAAAACAACAACAAATGTTCTGATGAAACTCAATAATCCAGGTACAAAAAAGGCATCTGCATCTGTTAAACACAACATCACATCATCAGCAAAAATAAAGGTTAAAAATCATTGCTTTTATGTTTTGTTTATTTTATTTTATTTGTTTTCTTTTGTTTTGTTTTTACCTGACAGCATGAAGTTAACACGTGTTGCATTTTTTGAATCATTTTGTGAATATTATTTTAGAGAAAAAAGTCCTTTAAAATGTCTTTACATAGTAAACTTAATTGTGAAAAACTCGTAGTACATACACTAGTTCCTATAAACTAACACTATAGAAAATTAATGTAAACTTTCATTAAAAAACTAATTATTATTATTAAATAATAACTAAAATCCTACTATTTAATTATTTTTAGTTCTTTTTTTGTATGTGTGTGTATTTGATATTTGCGGCCATACTGAGATGACACCAGGCTTATTCTTGCCCTCAAGCCTTATTTTGCCCATGTGTGCTTTAGAAATGTAAACCTGTTGCTATTTGTTGCACATTTTCTTTTACAACATAACATTCACAAGCTTAGCTTTAAAGCATTTTCATTTTTTTCTGTTTTACTAAATTAAAACAAATTTACTAATCTGATGTTATTTAAGGAGATTAAGTCTTAAACGTTTTATTTAAAAAATTGGCAACAATATAAACATGTTTCTAGAAGTGTTGTTCTGTGCAATGCATTTTTTTGTTTATTTTGTGTTGGGGAATTTCAAGTAAATGTTTATATGTGTATTCAAAATGCCCAGAAAATGAACAGAAAAAGTCACTTTAAGTCAGCCAAAATCTGGAATTTCAAGCAGGAGCCTGTTTAAAGTTTTTCTCATTTCCACGTTTTCCTTTATTGGAGAGGCTGGAGTCGTTGATCCAGAGCTTTGTTTCTGAGGAGACACTGGGGATTAGGCAACTTTCAGTGAATTTAGAACTCAATGATCTATTGTGCCTTGTAGTTCCAGGTGATCATAGTGAAGAAGGTGGATGTTTAAGTTCCAACATGTATGAAACAAAACTATAAGCCATTCCTAATTAGATGGACTTAAATTAAGCACATGGTTTTCACTTCATTTTATTCCTCATTTCCTTTTTGTCTCCTCACCATCTGCTGCTTTAGGGGACGTTTTTATTCACACGCTTCATTTTTTAAAGGTTATAGACAGGTCAAAATTACTTTTTATGTGCAATATTCACATAAAAATGTTTCAACTGTCAGGAAAAAAAAACATTTAAATATTAGAGGAACTCTAAAATAAATATTCATGTTCATGTTATGTATAAAATTTGCTGAAAAATGTATCATTTGAAAAAAAAAAGTCCCACATTTTAATTAAAAAGTGGAAAGGCATGATTAAAAAAAATATTTGAGATGGGTGCAACCTTTCCTTTGAAAAATCTAAATTACTAACAAATCAAAAAGCTCTTTTGACTAATACATCTGTTCATAGCCTTCAACACTTTTCACCCCATTTGGCATTTTGGTTTATTGTGTTGCCTCTCAACCTCATATTTAAATCACTGTTTGTGGGTTTGTGGTGACTTATATAATGCAGCCCACTTCTAATGCATAAAGGTTGATGAAATTAAATAAACAGACAGAAATGCTAAAAAGTATACCTAACAATGCAAAATCTAAAGATTTTTTCTCTTATTTGTTTATTTTCTTTTTCCTCTTTTACTTTAATTTCATTTAAAGTGTTTTAAATTTCACTTCTGTAAGTTTGACAAATCAGGACAGAAGGTTTTGCACATTCCTGAAAGCCTGAGATGAAAATGCAGATGAAACAGAATGATTTCCTCTAAACTACATTGTGCTACTTTAGCCATAGTTTGTGCCTAAAGGGGTTGTCCAGCTGAAAGGTGTTTCCATGTTCTAGTGCTAATAAAATGTACTGTTTAGTCCCTTTAAACGCTCTAAAATCACCCAACAAAATACTTCACTGTGAGGCTGTCACCAGAGTTGGTAGGTTTAAGGTTTAATTGGCCATATAATAATAATAATAATAATAATAATAATAATAATAATAATAATTGTTGGTCTTATATAGTGCTTTTCTAGACACTCAAAGACGTAGCTACACATTCAGTTGTAGTCTCATCTCAGCAGATAACCATTTTACACTTGTTTGAAGATTTTTTTTCATAATGTTCATATTTGTGAACTATACTGCCTTAAAAATGGTCCAAACACTAAAGTCTCTGCTGTTGGGCTTTATACAATCACTTTCGTCTTTTTGTTACCTTTCTCTGCTTTCCTTTACTGATGCAAAATTTTAAATGCTCTACCCTGTTTTTACAGCTAGCATATGCCAACCCCCATTTTCTTCCAATCATACTGGTGCTACTATGTTTAGTTTAAACAACATTCTTACATGTATTCTTCTGAGACATACTGTTTATGGTTTAGAGATTTAGAGATCTATCTATTTAAAAATCTCAAACCATGACACGAATAATTTTAACCAGAAAAATCAGAATGTCAAAACTTGAAACCATACTAGGCATCTGGCTCTCTGTGGTGAAAGCAGGGTTGGGTGTCATCTGGAGGTCTATAAGTGTTCAAACCCTTGCAGGCCTTTTTTACAGTTACTAATGCGTAAACTTAAGTACTACACCCCCAAATAGGTTCATAGCTATTCTGCTGTTCTACTGACTTATTTATACAGACGTGTTTATGAATTAGTTTTTCTTGCATTTTACCTGGTGATAGCAAAATGTTCTCAACATGTATTGTCGCCAGATTTTAGAATGCTCTATTTCAACAAACCAGAAGTAGGAAACAATTCAGACCACAATGCATCACAAATTACTGACTTTAAGCATGAGCATTAGTAGCTGTAAAAAGGTCAATAGGTTCAGACAAAATAATCACAGTCTTACTAAAAATCTATCTCTCACATCTACCACACATATCCCTGATCCTTTACCCTAAACCTAACCCCACCAAGACACACCTGACCATAAATCTAGCCCAAATTCAATTCATAAATCTACCCCCCCACACACACACACACACACCCAAAATCAGAGTCCTTACCATAAAAAGCAAAGGGTCCCCTACAAGGCTGTGTTTTTTGTGGAAAATGGTCCCCATGATGTAGCAAAAACACAACCACACACACATATAGTGTCCTGGCATCCCGGGACAACTACATAGCTTTAATAGCGGCTATAAACTTAATTTTAATTTTTTCAAATACACAAAGGTGCATCTGCAGCCTCAATGAATTCTTATTTCATAACAATCACTAAAAGACTTTTGAGTTTGGTAAGAGCCTGATTGACCCGGTACAATGCTGCTGTGACAGGCTGACCTTTGGTGTTGTCAGGTGAAGATCATCAGCCGTGCTGCCAGATGATTTTTCAACTCCTGAAATATCTGGGCTTGTGGAGCTGTTTTAGTGGAGAAATCAGTCTCACGGTGATGGTGCTCCACCTTATGTTGCTCCAGGTTACTGTTTTCGGACAAGTCAGTGTTTATATTACAAATAAGACAAATTAACTCCACATTTGAGAAACATAATAAT